ACTTTGATTAAAAACAAAACAAAAAAGTCATGTGGCTTACTCAAGCTACAGGCATTTTATGAAGAATTCAAGAAATTAAACAGCTTATCAAAACAGTGGGAAAACCATCTTATTCTCTGGCAAAGAGTTCTTCCAAAATGCCAGGCCTGTCTTTCCGTTGTAATTGATTCCTCAGCTCAGAGACATTCTCTTTGATAACTTGCTCTGGTTTCTGGACAGATAACTTCAATTTTTTTGTGTTAAAAAAAAATTCTGTCTGTCTTGCAATCCAGACATTTCTGGATACACTGATCAACACCTCTTCGAATTTCTTCCTAATGAGTGACACTGACATAGTCCTGACTCACCAGAGAAGCAAAACAAGCTTCCAAAGGTGCCCTCAGCTAATTAGGTCAACAGTTCGGTGTACTGTTAGGTCTTAGAGCGCCTGGAGCTGCCTGAAGAAGGGAAGCCTGGCTCTGGAGTCATGGCAGGAAGGGAAAGTGGGGGCCCCAGTGGCTGTCCAGAGAAAATACCACCTAGCTGAAATCCCTACCAAGTCTCAATTTAGGGTTGTCAGCAATTTCTACCCCTCCTCCATCCGTGTAAAGGAACCGTCGGAATGGTATTCGCAGCTGACTATTTCCCCATTTAAGCTCCGCCTTCCTCTTTGTCGGAGGAAGTCACTGTTGTTGAGCTGTGCCAAGGCAGGATTTAACCCGTGAGTGGTTTCTCAGCAAATCAGGATTCATCTAACCTGCGATTTCTAACCCGAACAACAAATTATGTCTGCGATTTCTTAATCACAGCAAGTTTCAATTTAACGGTGTCTGAGATCTCACCCCTGCCTCCATTCGTGTAAGGAGCAGCCCAAATGGTATTTTTCAACGGAGCCGGTGCTCACTTAGAATAAACAGGGTTAAGCCTGCGGTCTCTTTGCTGGAGGAAGTCACTATTTAACTGGGGCAAGTCAGTTTTTTTTTTTTTTTTTTTTAAAGAGACAGACTCTCACTTTATTGCCCTCAGTAGGGTGCTGTACTGTCACAGCTCACAGAAACCTCCAACTCCTAGGCTTAGGCGATTCTCTTGCCTCAGCTTCCCGAGTAGCTGGAACTACAGGCACCCGCCAAAATGGCTATTGTTTATGTTGCAGTTTGGCCCGACTGGGTTCAAACCCATCACTCTCCGTATATGGGGCCGGCGCCCTACTCACTGAGCCACAGGCTACACGCGCAAATCAGGTTTTAAGTCCTGAGTCCTTTCTCAGCAAATCAGGATTGAGGCAGCCTGCGATTTACAGTCTTAACAAGGCAGGGTGCGATTTATTTATCTTAGCAAGTTCAATTCAGTTGTGCCTTCGTTTTCTCCCCCTCCTTCATCTGTGTAGGAGAATAACCTGAACGATGTTTCTAGCAGAATAAGAACTCACTAATATAAACACAGGTTGAACCCTGGACACGGTTTCTCCCCCCCCACCCCCCAGGAAGTCACTGTTCAGCTGCAGCAAGTCAGGATTTCAGTTTCTTCTCTGTCGGTGTCATGATTTGTTTTTGTTCTGTGACCTCTCTAAAGTTTTATTATTTTTCATTTGTCTACTACTTTTCTTGACTTGTTACCATTGAATGTGATAGTCTCTGGGTTACCTCTGCCTACTACCTGCAATATGGACTTTCTTCCAGAGACCAGAGGCAGTTGGAACCACATGTAGCCCAGACTGCAGAGTTTCTCTGGTACCCCAAGGAATAGAGAGCCTCCTCAGAGGATATAAGGGCACTGTTTGTGTTTGCATTTTTTTACTTTGTAGAGTCTGTTTGCCATGTTTTGCTTAGTTTGGATATTTTTCAGTGACTTTTTCCCAATGCTTGGTGTTCTTTCTTTCTTTCTCTCCTCCTTCTTTTTTCCCTCTCCCACTGCCCCCAACCCTACTCCCCAGAGCATCTGACTCTCTTGCCCTGGGTCCAGTGCTCTGGTGTCAATCTAGCTCACCAAACTTTCACCTAGCAACCTCACACGTTTGGGCTGAAGCAATGCTCTTGCCTCAGACTCCCAAGTAGCTGAGATTACAGACGTAGGCCACTATGCCAAACTAGTTTTTCTATTAGGAAAGACAGTGTCTCACTCTTGCCCAGGCTAGTCTCAAACTGCTGAGTTCAAGGATCCTCTCACCTCAGCCTCCCAGAGTGCTAGGATTACAGGATTACCTGGCTACTGGCTGGTTTATTTAGAGTGGCAGTTTCTCGCTGGCTTTTGGCTCTTGGTCTGTGGAATATGGGGCCTTCTGTACATAACATCAGGAAAGTGCCACCCAATCAGATGTGTCACATTTGGTGACACAGGGTATCTAAGCATTCAGGAGACCTCAGCCTGTACGTTTTCATGATCCTCTTCCTGATTGGGTGGTCTTAAGTGGATAGGAGCTGTTGGGAGCTTCTGCTCCTTCCGCCTCCTCCCGTTCCCCACCCTACGGGAAAGCTTCTGCTCCCTCCGCCTCCTCCCGTTCCCCACCCCACGGGAGAGCTTCTGTTCCCTCCCTCTCCTCCCATTCCCCTCGCCCCACCTGCAATCTCCTGCCCGCTCCCGTTCCCCCGCTGCTCCGCCCTACGCCCTACGGGCCTTCCCAGCCACCTTCCCATGCTCTCCAGAATTCAAAGAGGCACGGAAAGTCCCAAGTTTCACTACCTCCAAGTTCTCAGTAGATGAACAATCCTAGAAAACTCACTGAGGCCTGATTGATTACTGTTATACAACCATAGTCATTGTGATCTAAGACGTATCCACTGATTAATTATTGTTGTATAATCATAACTATTGTGATCTAAGATGTATCCATTAATCAATTATTGTTATATAATCGTAACCATTGTGATTCGAAAGGTATCCATTGACAACCAAACTGTAACCCCGCCAATGGCAACCTTCCTCATCCCTCATCACCCCCCCCTTAAGCTACCCAGAGAAAAATGGTATAAAAGATAGAAAACCCTGCACTTCAGGGTCGTTTTGTCCCAGGGCAATGGCTCCTGCGCAGTTGTGAGCAAATCACCAATTATTTGCATCACTGTGGGTCCGAGTTTATTTTTTCCAGGTCCTCTAGGTTATTTCAGGAGCAAGCTGGGTGATGAACGAAGTCTAGGAAAATTTTATCAGAAGACCCCACCCTTAGAGATCATCTTAAAAATTTAACCATCTTGGATGAAATTAACCAGCGTAGAATGGTTCTAGGGATACACTGGGTTAAGAGTGGAAAAATC